GATTAAATCTTTTAGCGAAAGCCGCTATCGCTTTATTATATTAAAAGGCCAAATATATGGCCTAGGAGACAAATTCGTTAAACTTCCCGTGCTCGAATCGGTATCACTAAAGTGTTATGATCATTTCGGCCTATCCCAGCCATCGTCAGACACTTGGGCTGATACAAATTCAAACTCGGAAAGTAAAACGAATATCTCCCAGAACTTTACTACAGCGTAGTTAGCTTACAAAGGCGCCACCTGCTTTGGTGACCGTGAACGAAACGATATGATAATATCGTTTTCTGTATCCTTTGTGCTATGCGAAATGTGAAAGATTAAATCTTTTAGCGAAAGCCGCTATCGCTTTATTATATTAAAAGGCCAAATATATGGCCTAGGAGACAAAAGAAGTGGTATATATCGCTTAGATTCTTAATGTTACTCTTAACATTGATGGAAAAATCGTTAAGGAAAATATAAGACATTTCAATGAACTCTCTTTTAGATTTATTGTTCTCACGGTGGAGAATTGTAGTGTTCGTATAGTCCATGTGATGACCAGTGAAATGGACATGTTTGGCTAATGGTCAAACCACAGCGGCCCCAGCGGTCAGGGTGAAGTCGAGAATCACTTTTGTGTTTTGCTTTTCTTAGATACATCTCAATAAGATATTATTATAATAATACATGAACAATATACAAATTAAAAAAGAATTTCAATTAAGAAAATTCTAAACTAATATCTCCCCAGACTGGGATCTAACTTCATCGGTTTTACCAATGAACCTTAACGACATAAATATTCAAAAGACCTACTTGTAATTGTCAGCGCTTGCGTTCTATGAAAACAGAACCTCACATTCAAACTTTATAACAATCAAAAATTTAGTTATTGCCGACAATTCAAAGAATTACTTCCTTTAAATGTAGTTACATTGGGTTTTTCGATTAACCTTGGGTAAACCTTTGCGTTTTAAGTTCAAAGCTACCATACATTTCCAACGTTAACAAAAAAAACTTTTTTGCACATAGTAACAAAAAAACACCACTATGTTGTTACTAGCTAAGTTTTTTAACATACTAACTCGACATTTCTAAAATTTACGGTAAGGTAAATGTTTTTTATTAGATAATATATGGTAGCTAATTATAATTTATTCTCTTTCAGCCCTGAAGAAGCCAAATTAATTCTCTTTGGCGAAAACGTTCGGCGAAACAATTGATACACATTAGAGTTTTTCTTGCAGATTTCCCCAATATTTAAGAGTTTACTATATATATATATATATATATATATATATATATATATATATATATATATATATATATATATATATAGAAATATAATCCTCAGCAACCGTAGTAGAACGATGACCCGGAAACGGACGCAGCATAACCGAACCAATAAATAGGTGCAACAAACGTTTTCCAACGTTCTTTTTAATTTGTAATTTCATTGTACAACAAAAGTTATATAGTTTGTAAATTTGTGATTTCTCAAATAAAACCTTTTTTAAAAGACAAGTTTAAGTGCTCCCAACATTTCTGGCGCTGCGAACAGGATTCATCGTACAGAAACCACCCGTTTCCTGGTCAACTTCAGTTGTTCGACGAGAATCCATTGAACCTGGGATCAGAAGGAAGAGCATGCAGAAAACATCATTACTGATCGTCTTCCTGTAAGTCAATTTTCCTTTTTTCCTTTATGAGCATTTTGAACGATATTTCTAGAAATAATTTAGAAGTTTTATTTGAAAATCTTACCTTAGATACTACTAGTTCTAGTTCTAAATATAATATTCGTAATTTTAAAAAATCTTTAAATAAATCAAAAATGCCTATGTCAAACGCTGATATTTCTAGCCTATGCGCTACTTTGCCTGAATTTTCTACTGGAGATAATCTCTCCACATTTATTAAATCTGTTGATAATTTAATTGTATTTTTGGGTACACAAGATATTACCCAGCCACAAGAATTTGTTTTAAATGCCAATATCGCTTCTCGTATCAAGGGCGAACCTAGAGATTTTTTAAATTATTCCAATAAAACTATTTGGACTGAAATTCGGCCTGCTTTACTCGCTAAATATGGCGATAGACGTTCCGAAGAAATTTTAGTGAATCAATTATCTACTACGGTACAAAAACATAACGAAAACTATGACCAATATCACCAAAGGGTTTCCAATAACTTAAATGATCTTCTACAGCATATCTCTCTTAATGACAATCCTGCCACAGTTGCCTTTAAAACCCCTTATTTTAAGAATATTGCTCTTAAAACATTTTGTACCGGCATAAATGACCCCTATTGTGAATATCTGTCTCATTTTCAAATTAACTCTCTCGAAGAAGCCCTCCAAAAATGCATCTCTTATGATAACCATAAAAGTCAACAACAGTATATGAATTTCTTAAAAGGTCAACAAAATAAGCGACCTAATACATTCAAACAAAAACCAAATACTCCAAATCAAAATAATTCAGATAGGTTTAATACTAGAACCAATAATCCGCCCAATTTTTAAAATAACTTCATGTACCCCCCTCGTAATATGCAAGAGCCCACATTCAATTTTCCGCGACAACCTAATTATAACTTCCCAGAAAGAAATCCTCCACAGGCTAATCAAGCCAGCCCTCCTAGACATTATTCTCAACACAATAATTTCGGCAATAATCCAAATTTCAGAAAACCTCTCCCAAAAAATATGTATAATAGACGAAATATTCTAAATCAAAATTATACTTCTCCTATGAGTGGTGTACAAACAATCTCAAGCAATCAACCCATGACTGTTTCTACAAGAAGAACTCACAATTTTAACGTAGATACTAATATTGACGAAAATCCCGAAAATTTCACACAAAACGCCGAATCAGATAGTTATGAACATTCTCAGGATTGTCAATACGGCCTTTTCAAAGACGGCCCACCTCTTATATAAATTTAAATAATATTAATAACAATCCCCGATTACCATACTTTATCATGAATAAAAAATGGACTGAAAGTTTTAATCGATTCAGGAGGTTCTGATACAATTATTTCCCCTCAAGCTTTAAAATATTTTAATCCATGTCATATTTATGAAAAACCCTTTACATTGACTTCAATGAATGTGACTCGTAAATATTTTCAAAATATAAAAACTCCTTTACTCAAATGTATGAACGTAAATTATATTTTTGATGCGCGAATTGCTGAGTGGAATCGCGAATTTCATATTTTACTCGGCAATCGTGATTTAGAAAATTTACAAGCTGTTATAAATTATCAGACAAAAACGTTGACCCTTGAGAGTGTCGGTGTCATAATTCCATTTCATACACTTTATAATAAAATTCCTGTAGACATTGCGGAAGGTGAAATTCTATTCCCTGAAACAAAAATTAATCACGTAATTATACCAGAGTCCATTCACATTGCGAAAGACAATTACATAGATAATATTTCTCTCTGTAATCATATTCAAATTGAACCCATCCATGTAGAAAAATTAAATAATTATAAAGTTTCAAATGGCCCAACAAACTTTAATCCTTCTGTTATTAGAACTAGTCATTTAAATTTAGAAGAAAAAGATAAAATTTTAAAATTATGCAAAAGATACAAAGATATTTTTTATGATGATAAAAATAAGTTAACTTTTACTTCTGGCATTAAACATGAAATTAGAACGCGAGATGAAAATCCTATTTATGTAAGAGGATTTAGGCATCCAAAAAAGATGCAAGAAGAAATAACAAAACAAGTAAATAAATTATTAGATAACGATATTATTAGACCTTCCATATCGCCGTTTTCTGCTCCTGTCTGGATCGTACCTAAAAAAGCCGATGCATCCGGAGAGCAATATGACAATAGAAACGAAATGGGGCAAAACTCTTATAGAAATTATCCTGCAATACAGGCTATATGTCATGAAAACTCATTTTAAAAAGAGAACCTAAAGAAATTAAACTTGGCAATCACCAAATGGTTTAAACAAGAACAAAATTGACTTTATATTTTTACTAACAAAAAACACTCTTTTAAAATGGAACCGTATTTAATCAATTTTTAACAGGAAGTCACCCTAAAATAGTTAGAGCGAAAACAGTCTTGAATGTAAGTAAGGAAAAAAGAAATATGGTAACAAGAAATAAAAATGTCCCATTCACTGCATTTACTAATAGGAGGGCATACCAGAAAGAAATAGAGAGTAACCCACAGAAAGATGTTCATGATGAAAACAGTATTGAATAGCTTAACAAAATGTTGGTGGACGATCTAAAGAAAACACAGAAGAAGTGCTCAGCAAACAAAATAAGCAAAAATCAAAAACTCACAGAAGACACAAGCAAACAAAAAGGAAAATGAAAGATAAGCACAAAACGAACATTACAGAGCTACCAACAATACTATTTCAAAAGCCGTTAGGAAAGGCATAAGGAACATCCAATATTTAAAACAATCCAACATAATCTGAATTTTTGATGGATTTTTTTATATTTGTTTACTTTCGTTAGGTTGGCTCTTTTAGACGCTATTTAAGGAATTTATTAGAAAGTGACAACAATTGATAGTGTGGTGAATGTTAAAACATTCTTAGCTGTACTTTCCACGTTTCTTATTTTATTTTGCTAAATTGTATGTTACAGAGGATACGCCAAAAATAAAACAAATAATTATTTTAATACTAAAATTATGTTCTAACTTTACTATTACTAATTACTACAACAATTGCTTAATATTTTGTTCATTTAAGTCTAAATACAGACTAACTCTTATGTGGAACAACCAAAACAACATATTTGCAAAATTTTTTTTTGCAGAGTTTTTCCTGGTTATGATTTTATAATAAATAATATGGTAAAATAAATCTAATTAAATATCTAGTTGAAGATGGGATTTTAGTATTTCTTCTCATTATTCTGCCATGAACAACTCGTTTGTCTGGTTGTGTGCTGTTAAAGCTTCATGATTATTAGGTTTATTTTGAAATTCACATCTTAATAAAAGAATCTTAACTTGATATTCCCAAAAATATTTATTAAAATATAGGTCTAACAAAATTACTTGACAATGTCAAACCATTCATAGCAGGTCATTCAGTATGGTGACTAAGGTAGTACCTATCCAAAAAAATATGTAATTCCATGCACACACATGGGTGCAGAAGTATAAAATAATCCAAGAGAAGGCATAGTAGATTCTTTAGTAAAGTAATAATCGAGAGAAGTACCTACTTTAAAGTCCATAGCCATTCTGCGACACCACAAAAAATGATGATAGAAATCAAAATTCATAAGTGGCTGGAACAGAGTTATAAAAAAATTCAGAGCACTCCAAGGGCAAGCATATAAACAAAAAGTCATTAGCCACATTATCGGTAGTTTTTCATCTAGTTTAATGAATCGTAGCAGACGAGAGCTTATGCCAGTGAGAGAGACAGTAACTGAACACTTTTAACACCTCTATAAGTAGGATGAATTCACCGTGTTGCGGGAAAGTAGAAAAAGAAACTGCTATACACAGTCATTTGTGAATGTGATATATTAGTAACGTGAGACGGATAACACTTGAAACATAAGTATTTAATCAGGAGAAATAGTTAAATTCAGCAAAAGAAAGTTGATCGCTTTAACAAGAGCAAGACATATTAAGGAAGTTTAACGAAAGGATAAGATATACATATATTTCACAACCCAGTGCTAGAGATAAAGCGCGGCTGCTTTTGAAAAATATACCTGCAATAATAGCGGAACGTTGAGATTAGTTATTTCTTCTATTTATTCAAGATATAAAAACATAGATAAAGTGTTATTTCTTATTCTTAAAAGATTCCTCTATCTCGTGTAAAGACCTATCTTTTGTTTCTGGAAGAAATACAATAACAAATAAAGTACTGAGAAGAGCAACTAAACCAAAAATTAAAAACGTCCCACTGGGACCATAACTCTCAAACATACTAGGTACACACTTAACAACCGAGAAGAACATAGAAAAAGCTATAAAAGACGAAATGCCGCTACCTTTACTTCTGTGTCTCACAGGAAATACTTCCCCTAGCATAGAACTCGGAAGGGGTACTAATCCGATGCTGGCAAAAATTATGAAACAAATAAGACAACTTAGAGGAATGTAACTTGAACAGAACGGAGGATAAATCTTTGCAATATAGATATAGAAACTCAGTATTAATAGCGGCAGGAAAGTACCGACACCGCTTATTATAGCCAGTGGCCGTCTTTTGATTTTTTTAAGTAAAACACATGCTACAACAGACATAAAAAGCCTTAAAAGATCAATAATTAGAGTTGATAAATATTCATCTACACCTTTGCCTATGGTTTCTTGCATGATATGAATGGAATAAAATGTTATCGCATTGACACCTGACCACTGTTTGGTAATAATGTAGATAGCTATTATTCCTAAAGGTTTCAGAAACTCCGGTACTAGAATACCATTTATCTTGTCTTTAAAAGTCTTGCTTGATTCTTTGGGTTGGTGATTACGGCATTGCAAAAGTATATTCAATTCATTTTTCGCCTTATCAGAAGCTCCTCTGTACCAGTAAAATGCTTGTTCTGCTTCTTCTGCTCGTGCTTTACCCGCAAGCCATGTTGCAGACTCTGGAGAAAAATAAATTATTATTTGGCTGATTAAAGGGAGCAGCGAGCATACCAGTGCTGTATTTTGCCAGGATAGGAAAGTACCAAGAAGGTGTGATGTAAATAAACCTAAAATATATTAATAATAACATAAGTATGAAGTAGTTCCTCTAAAATGTTTCAAAATAATTAAAATAATTAATATAAGATACGTAAAAATAATATGTTTATATGGGATCATGACACAATTAATCGGAAAAAATGTTTCCCAGAATATTTAAAATAATTTTTTGAAAAAGATTTCCGAAGTGAAAATCGAAACGTCATTGCCAGTTAGTTAAAAATTTAGTTTTTATTACAATCAATTGCAACTTAATCCCATATAAATATAATATTTAAATTAGACATTCCACAAGAAAGCAGCTTCAGAACCTAAAATTGAATTTACTTAAAAAATAAGTAAATTCAAACTAAGTATATTTTAAAAATATTACATGCCACGTTATACGCCATATTTCTTTACATTGTTGCTCCCAACTTAAAATTGAACAATAAGTATTAATCACAGTTGTGTTAATAAAATTAGTAAACTATGTGATTTAAAACTAGAACTAACCCCTGTAATATCAACCCTTAAATATCAGAATTACAGATAAAATAATATTATAATTCATACTCGTGTAACATTTTGTTTATGTAAACATTCGGTAATTTAAATCGAGGTCATTCATATATAACATACTCTAATTAAAACAGCCAGTCAGCACTCTAGTAAAATTGCACGACTTACTTGTGGTGTAGGTCAGGGAATACACTTGACACGAATAGTAACAAGAGCGCTGAGTCAGCAAGGCCGAGGCTATTAAAAGCAACACCAATCATTCTCGGGGATCTTAATTATTATACCGACACTATGGCCAGCGTCAATTAAGTACTGATATATTTAAGTTTATAATAGTGAAATATTGTACAAAGCAGTGATTAATAAATGGGCAACTAGTTACAACAATATTATTTACTACCCAAGATAATATTTACCATATGGCGATCCTGAATTGGTAGAAACCAGGAGTCTTCGTTCCAGAAGTATAGAATGGGAGGAAAGTCATCCAAGGAAGACCTACAGGAGAATGGAGTTGTCAACAGCAACTTCATAGTAAAAAGTAAAGATGTCAGACCAGGCGAAGAAATAAAGGTACTCTTATACATCATTACCACGGTCCTGATACTAAAATTGGTATGGTCGTTATGGAAGGCGCATAGGAGAAATATGAAGCGGAGCATACACCGGGACATGGCAGCGAGATCGACAACAAATTTAGACGTTTAAGTGGTGAGTCTGCATATTATCTATTTTTTTTTGCACTTCCTCACACGTATATTAACATAGCAGTTACTTTGTTAAATATTAATTATTATTTTTATGACTTTTTAAAGATAATTTCACTTATATTTTAGTATGGATAATTTTTAATTTATTAATTTATTGAATTTATTTAAATTTATTGAATTTATTGAATTTTAATGGGTATTTGACGATATTATATTTTTTTTTGCTACATTATTCTCGAATTTTATCGTACTACATAAGACTATCGGATTTGTGTTTTCGTTCTTAAATGCCTAGCAGTTGGGAAGATTTTGTCAAAATACTTGAAGCCATTACGCAGGATATTACTAAGCAGAGCAAAAGAGTGTTAAAAAAGGAGATACCTAAAAGCAAGGAGGTAAAAACTGAGATAACGACACAAATAATTGAAGCTTATAATAGATTGGTACACCTCATAACCAAAAATTGGGATGCACTAACTGATATCCAGAGAGAAACTTGTAAGAGATACTTCAACAAAAACCGAGACAAAGTCATACGATCATTCCAAGCTATAAATTCCAGAATATTAGTTCCTAATCTGATAAATCAACAGATTGATAAGAATCTAGAAGAAGATCAAAGTGACACGGAACAAGAAGAAACCATGGCGCTTAGCATCAATGAATTTTTAAACATTGCAAGCAAAATCTTACCAAGTGAATTTGACGGAACCACAGGCAAACTACAATCCTTCGTGGACGCGCTCGAACTTTTACAGAAAATAGCAGTAGGACATGAGGAAACAGCGATAAGCCTCATAAAAACAAGGTTAACAAATAAAGCCAGAAACTTAATAACCACAGAAGACACTATTTTAGACATACAGGCAACACTGAAGAGAGAACTAAAAGGTGATACGCCGAAAACGGTGATAGCAAAACTAGACAAAAAGAAGCAAGGACATAAAGATGCAGCTGTGTACGCAGCCGAGGTTGAGGCATTAGCCGAACAATTAAAAGTGGCATACATAACAGAGGGAATGCCAGGAGATTTAGCTAAGAAATATACAGAGGCTGTAGTAGCTACGATGAAACGTAACGCCAGCACAGACAAAGCCAAGCTAATATTAGAGGCAGGCAATTTCACAACCCCACAAGAGGTGATGTCAAAATTCCTATCAATAGACACAACAGAAGACAATGTACATGGAAGAGTGTTAAATTATGAAACATACTATAACAAAAGAGGAAATTCCAGCACAAAAGAGGATATCATAATGGATATAACCAGTGGAGAAGACCAAATTTCTCGCAACAAAACAATGGAAAAAGAGACCACCGTCAACATGAGCAAAAAGGGTCCAGAAAATTTGATAACCAGGCACAGAGGGGAAATTCAAGAGGATTCAACAGACATATACGATTATTAGAACTAGAAGATAGTCCGCAGGAATCAGAAAACCCACAGTTGGGGTTTTGAACAAACAACTCTCATCTGAGACGGATGAACAGATGACATAATCAGAATATTTTATCTACAATTTCGACTTAAACCTTACAAACTTCGTAAGAATAAAAACAGGAATCTTAGGACAAGTAAATACATTTATTATAGACACAGGAGCAGATATTTCAATACTTAAATGTACACAAGACTCTATGAGAGAATATGTAAAACCGAATTCAAAAGCAAGAATAAAAGGAGTAACTCGAGGAGAACTACAAACAATGGGAGAAATCGAAACTACGCTAGACGTACGTGGCAATCTTTTTGGACATACCTTTCAATTGGTAGAAAACAACTTTCCTATACCAACAGACGGAATAATTGGAAGAGATTTTATCACAAATTTTCAATGCATATTAGATTACGCAAATTTGAAAATACATATCAAAAATGATAGAAACTATTACATCAGTACAAATATTTTGGATACTGTAGACGATAGCACAATTATAATACCACCCAGATGTGAAGTTTACAGAACAGTTCAATATTTTCAAAAGTTAAAGGCAGATAGACTAGTGGAACAACAGGAGATACTACCAGGAATATTCATAGCGAGAGCGATAATATCAAGGAATAACCCATATATCAAAATTTTAAATACGACTTACGAAACTGCTACGATAGAGACGGGTACAATCAAAACATCAGACATGAAATTGTTTAAAGTATACAGATTAATCAACGACAGCAAGGACAGGAAGAAAGAACTACGGGAAACATTAAAGCTAGATATACCGGAATACACTCGAGATAAATTAGTATCGTTATGCGAAGATTTTGCAGATATATTTGCATTAAGACATGATATGCTAACATGCAACAACTTTTATGAACAAAAATTGAGAGTAAAAGAACACACACCAGTTTACATAAAGAATTATAGGACACCACATTCGCAGACAGAAGAATTGAATAGACAAGTACAACAATTAATAGACCAAGGAATTGTCGAGCCATCGACATCAGAATACAACAGTCCAGTCGTACTAGTACCAAAAAAAGCTATAGATGGAAACAAAGCATGGAGACTATGTATAGATTTCAGACAGCTAAACAAGAAACTAGTCACAGATAAATTTCCGTTACCAAGAATAGACTCAATATTAGACCAACTAGGTAGAGCAAAATGGTTCTCAGTAATAGACTTAATGTCAGGATTTCATCAGATACCACTAGAACAGTCATCAAGGAAATACACATCTTTTAGCACGGAAAAAGGAGCATTTCAATTTACCAGATTACCTTTTGGACTAAATATAAGCCCAAATAGCTTTTCGAGAATGATGTCAATAGCATTTACAGGTTTAACACCGGAGAAAGCATTTCTGTATATGGACGACATAGTAGTAATAGGAATAACAGAAAAGCATCATTTAGACAACTTAAAAAAGACATTTGAGATATGTCGGAAATTTAATTTGAAGCTAAACCCAGCAAAATGTCAATTTTTTAGAAAAGAAGTTACATATTTGGGACATGATCTGTCGCAGGAAGGAGTATCGCCGGATAAAGCGAAATATTCGACAATAGAGAACTACCCGACACCGAAGAATGCGGAAGAAGCCAAAAGATTCATAGCATTTTGTAATTACTATAGACGTTTTATTCCGAATTTTGCAGAGATATGCATACCTATAAACAGATTGTCGAGAAAAGGAGTAGAATTTTTTTGGTCGCAAGATTGTGAAGAATCATTTAAGAAACTCAAATCATCTTTGATAAAACCACCTATTTTAAAATACCCAGACTTCAACAAACAATTCATACTAACAACAGACGCATCTAATGCAAGTTGCTCAGCAATTCTAAGTCAGAACTACGAGGGAACAGATTTACCAATAGCTTACGCATCGCGCAGCTTCAACAAAGGAGAGCTTAACAAACCTATAATAATTAAAGAATTACTTGCAATCCATTGGGGAATCAACCATTTCAAATGTTATTTATACGGAGCACCAACATTTTTGATAAAAACGGATCATAAACCACTAACACACCTATTTTCAATGAGAGATCCTACCTCAAAACTCACAAGAATCAGATTAGATTTAGAGGAATACGATTTCGAGATAGAATATATAACAGGGAAAAATAATTACGCAGACAGTCTGTCGAGAATATCAACAAATCAGTTGAAAGACTTATACATAGACAACAAACATATTTTAGCTATAACCAGAGCTCAATCAAAGAAGAAAGCCGAAAGTGCGAAGCACAGGGAGATAGAAGAGGAAATTATATCACAACATAAAACCCACAAGCAAACAGTAAGAAAGGTACTAAACAACATGGAGGCGCATAGACTACC